GTGCCCCAATATGGTAGTGATGCTCATGGTGTTCCCCGGCACTTCCAGCAGCCGGGACCCGTTGGGTATCAATTACAACATCAATATGGCCAGGTGGGTGTTGAGGTATTCGCGATAAAAAGCTATTTTAAGTAAAAAAATTAGAAAAAAATAACGAAATTTCGTGGTTAGCAGTGTGCTGCTTGAAGTTGACGTAGACTAGAAATGCTTTCGCCTAAGCGGTGATCCGCTTTTTTGATTCTTTGAGCTATATTTAGCTAGAAAAATTTTAGACTCTTGAATTCTAAAATTCATTTTTATCAAAAATACATAATTTTTCAGCCTCAGCCAATGTCACACTCCTACGCTCACCCCGCCGTCTCGCCGATGCAACCCTGCTATACGCCACCGACACACTCCTATGGCCACCACCAAATGGCCCCGGGACCTGCCTACTCGCCAATGTACGGTGCACACGGGCAGTACAACGGTTTCGAGTCGACGTCGCCGTATGGAAGCCCGATGATCAGCCCGACGATCAGCTACGGCGCATCGGTAAGGGATTATGGGAAAACTGTCTCTCTCGCTATCTCTCTCGCTCACTCTCTCTCTCTCTCTCTCTCTTTCTATCTCTGTCTCTAACTAAAGCCATTTCTCTAGCCGCTTGCGATGATGCAACCATCGATGGGCCATCCGCTTTCCGTCATCACCAGCCCGGTGCGCTCGGCCATGCATCCACCCGAAGACCAACCCCAACACGTTCGGCAACCCGTCACGCATCAACAGTTTCCGGGCTACGAATTTGGTATGTTCGATGCAAAACGCTCGTCTGATAAACTTTAAAGCTATAAATTGTTCAACGAAACCCTCCGTTCAGATCTGAACGGCGTCCCCGGAAGCGTGAACATGCCCAGCCCGCCCGCCCGCGCCACAAAGTCCGGCTCCCGCGAAAAAAGTCAACCGCCAAGACCAAGCCTAAAGCCGAATGTGCCCGCCCGACCGGAAATCGCGCCCACAAGCCAACCCGGCAAGAAGCCAAGCCTGCCAAGCAACACGGCGAAGCCGACTTCAAACGGCCCTACCCAGCCAAAGGCCCCGCTCACCAACGGCCAGAAAACCGTTCCGTCTGCTAAGAAACTGAGTAACGGCCCGGAGAAGCCGCCAAGCCAACCAGGTCAATCTACTCAAGCCAAGCCGACTTCAAACGGTCCCCTAAAGGCCAAGCCAAGCCAGGGCACCAACGGCCCGATGGCGCCGCTCCAGAAGCGCCCACTTGAACGTCGCCACCCCGGCGTCAACGGTCGCGTCAGCCCCCCGCATTGCAAGACGCGCACCGAGGCGCCGGCTTCTGCTCAGACGCGGCCGAGCGTCGTCGTCAAGTCCGACTCTGCGCCCCCGCCCCAGCCCGCCCAGCACCTCAAATCCATCAACAACTCCAACGGCGTCCACAACATTGCCGCCAAGTAATACGGTGTATCGTTTTGTAGCAAGTAGTCCTGTATATTGGTAGTAATTTAAGCAGGGGGCTTGTGAGGGTAGTTTAAAGGTAATTGAACAGACTTTATCTCATCGTTCCCCCGCTAACGCACCAGTACCGGGAAACGCGTTACGCGATGAAATTCCACTCACAAGCCCCCACAAATCGTTATCCGCTCTTTTCAGCCCAAAGAAACGTTGTTGGTTGTTCCGCTTTGTACCCTAACCCTCGCCCTCGATACCGGTGTCTCCCATTTTTTGTACCCTTTTCCACACTTTGATATTTTTGCTCAACCAACCCTCCAAAAGCTACCTTTTCTCGCGTGCTAAAATGTGTCCTCATCGCCCAGTCATCCCCCGTTCTCATCCCAAATTGAAGCCAAGTCACTTCACTTTGGCCACGGCCTTAAGCTTAAACCGAAGTCTAAGCCTAAGCTAAGCCTAGACCCTAAGCCTGAGCCTAAGCTAAGCCTAAGCTTAATCCTAAGCCTAAGCCTATGCCTAAGCCTAAGCCTAAGCTAACCCTATGCCCAAGCCTAAGCCTAAGCTAAGCCTATGCCCAAGCCTAAGCTAAGCCTAAGCTTAAACCTAAGCCTAAGCCTAAGCCCAAGCTAAGCCGCAGCCTAAACCTAAGCTTGAGCCAAAGCCTAAGCTAAGCCTAAGTCGAAGCCTAAGTCTAAGCCTAAGCCCCAGCCTAAGCCTAAGCCTAAGTCACCAGCCCTTCCGCTTCTTACCCTCCCTCTCACCCCCTAATGGCCCTTCACATTTAAATCCACATTCGGGTATCAATGTTTTTTGTGTGTAGAGGATTTCTGCGCCCCCCGCTAATGCCCAAGATCCCTTTTTGAGGCTTTCAGCTTGTCTCGGATTTTCAATGTACACGCAACAGGCTGCCACTGATTTTTGCGATTAATTTATTTGGCTCGTACCTTCCTTTTTTTGTCAGAAAAGTAGGACGTTGGGGTTAAAGAAACATTGAACTACAAAATTTTTGAAAATCAGGTTTGCGAAATGTCGAAATTCTTGTCGGTATTTCGGGTTATTTGTTTATCGAAAATTAGAATGCGGAAAATTCGTTTCGTTGAGATATAATTTTTTGAAAATCATTTTGGGGAAATTCTAAATAACATAAACTGAATTCTACAAAACCAAATATCGACAAAATGATTTTCGACCAAAAATCAATTTAGACAAAACGAAATCTCGACTAAATGAATTTTGACTTATCGATAGCAAAAATACCGACAACCAAAATTCCCACTTCCAGAATCTCGACAGCCAGAATCCCGTCATGCAAAGCAGCGGTCTCAAGAAAAATGGCATTCAAACTAGCGTTCAGAATATGTCGGAATTTCGCTCGTCGGCATTTTGATCTGTCGGGATGAAGACTGTAATTTCCCGATACGGCCGATTGCATAGAATTTTTTTTGGTTGATTGCTTCTTTAACGATTCCAACGTTTTGATGCCATTTCTCAATCTCAAAAACCTAGTCGAGCCCTTTTATGTAAAAAGCCTTTTGTAAAATGCGCCTTTCCGAATGCACTGTAATCTCAGGCCCACCGTAACCGAGCTTTTCCCCCCTCGGGGTTACGGCCCCCATCAAAACCCCCACTTTTTTCTTTCTTCTCAAAAACACGGGTCTCCCGGTGGCCGTCTATCACTTTTTGAGCCCTGGCCACGGGCACGGGTTTTCTTCTCTTAGGCCTTCATGTTGTGTACCGGCGTTTTCGACTCTCCGAAGCGTCGCCTCTACCCTAAATGGTGCTCATCTTACCGTAGCCTTCACCCCCCACGTACCCTCATTTTATACACTTTGCTGCCCAGTCTCACCCATCTCACAAAACAGTGTATCCCAGATTCGTCGTCACCCTTTCTCCCCCCTGATCTGCCGATATCCCAGCGCGGGTACTCATATAAAATTTGGTTTACCCCCGGTGTATATCAGCTCCGTGTTGGTCTACAGGGTCGTGACGTAGACGAAAATGTTCGTCTTGAGGTGACGAGTATTTTGGTATACTTTACACCCCTGTAGCACACTGGCGAGCCGATATACAGTAGGTGACATCGCCACGGGCTGAACACTGCCAACTTTAGTTTGTATAGTTTGAATTTTATTGGAATATATGAGTACTTGTTATATTTATATACCTCAGAAAAAGCCTTCCTCCCCGTCTGGCATTGCTCTCACCGATCACTGTTTCCCCTTCCCACCTGGTTGTTTGTATAAAAAAGATCACGGTTTTCCGGAAGAAAATAAAAATTCATTTTGATTTGGCGCTTAAGAAATACACAAGAACAAAAATACGCAATACGCTATGCAGAGAATCAAGGAAGATGACAGCGATACCTTCAAATTTTGGTACTGGACTGTCAGACGGCGGAAAATCTTTTGGCAGGGGAAAACTAATTTTTTTTTCGCGTATACCTAGCTATAGTAATAAGTAACGTGTTTTTCTATTGTTTAGTAGTTTCTGATAGCTAGAAAGTTACAAAAAATATCTTCAAAAATTCTTAAAATTCGTAAATTTTGACTTTTGTGGCCATTTTTCGTACATTTTATGCCGAAACGTCATGTTCCAGAATTTTCGAGGTCTTTTATTTATACGTATTTAAAAAACTATTTAAACAAAAAATGGCTTTTTATAGGGTTTTAGAGTTACCCTAATCTATGGGTTCAAATACACTTCAAAAAGTTGCCCACTGTCACCCCGAACAAGTGGGCCAAGTCCTGAGTGACCGGTATCCACTTTCAAGTACTACCTACTACACCCCGGTTCCACTCGACACCTTTACACGCTGATCCGGCGCGATGCGATTATCACAAGTGGCCGGGGGTCCATCGCATCCGGCCCCTATTTGGGGCATAATTTGCATAATCCCGGGTGGGCGGAGTCTCAGGTACTGATGGTCGGTAGAAGTTACCCACTTTTCATTCGGACTCGGCGAACACTTCCGTCGAGAGCTGTCCACCACACTTCCAAGCTATGCAAAATCTACGCAAATATTCCCACTAGTTCGCATACTATTACCGTAACCCGTCTCTCCCCCATCCGGTGGCATCATATCTTTTAAATCGTGATAAATGCACCGAGATTGTGGACAGACTGGTTATCGGCCATATTCAAGAGCGCTAAAGGTAGACAGCTAACATTGGTACTGTTCTGTTAGCGGGGGGGGGGGACAAGTTTTTGTTTTTCCGCATAAGCATTAATTTTATTTTCCGCATTTTGATCAATTTTGATCGATTTTTTATGGACATTTAGATATAGAAACTGTGTAAAATTCTACAAAACTGGTTTATGTTTTATTCTAGGACCGTACAGGATTACTGGGAGAAATTAGCTTTCCCGGCTCAAAATCCCACCCCCCCCCCCTAACAGTCCAGTACCCTAAAATTGTGATCCTTGCTTCTGCAAAGCGGTTTCTGACTAGACACGATTTTTCGCAGATTTCGAAGATCAAGTTCAGAAGTTCCGCAGTATTTTCAGAGGTTTGGGTTTGGTAATTGAGCGCGTAAAATACGGTAATTTTACACTCTTTATTACGTAAGCAACCCTCTTTCGTAATCCCGCCGTATGCGCCGCTTATTCCGCGTAAACGTGCCCTCCAATTCGGTGATGCGCTGCTTCTGGCGGGTGACCGACTCCTGAAAATTTATTCAAATTTTTCTGACCTGCTCGAATTCGTTGTACCTGCTGCTGTCGCGCATAGTCGTCCAACTGTCGATCAATGTTCTCCATGGCGGCCTGAAGCCGTGACAGTTGCTCGTCGGTTGGGAGCGTCAGCATCCCGAGCAGCCCCTGATCATCATCCACCTCCGTCTCGTCGAGCAGCAGCTTCGCGCGCAGCATCTCGCGCGCTAAGAATTGAGGCTCAACGCAAGAACCGGAGCAACCTTTTTCATACAAATGGTCTCGCATCGTGGGGTAGTCGACGAGCACGGCTGAGACGTCTTCTTGGGCCAGGATGTAGATGTCCGAGAAGCCGACCGAACGAACGGAAACGGCACGGCGATCGCCTGGAAGATGAACAGCCCATTTTCAGAGACCATTACCATCTTACCAAGCATATTTCCGCCGACCCGAACCACCGACAACTCGCCGAACGTCGATCCCTCGTTGAGCACCTCCAGCTCTACGACCTGCTCCGAGTTGGCGTCGTCGATCACGGATAGCTGGCCACGTTTCAGAATGAACATCTCCTAGAGATTTGTTTTAAGCTTTCTCTCTCACTCGCTCGCTCGCTCTCTCTCACTCCCCGCTATCCGCTGGCCGCCCCCCTCTCTCTCCCCCTCTCTACTCTCTACTCACTAGCCATACCTCTCTATCTCCCTCTCTCCTCTCTCGACCCCCCTATCTCCCTCTCTCTCTCGCTCTCTCTATATCTCGCTCTCTCTCTTTCTCTCTCTCGCGCTCTTGCTCTCTCGGCTAAATCTCGACACCTTCGCCCTGTCGCCGGTTCGACAGATGTAGTCCCCCGGGGAGAAGACGTGCTGCTGAAGCCGGAGCACCAGCTCGTACAGGAAGTTGACTTCGCACTCCTGGACAACATTATTAGGAGAATTCTCCGCCTACCGTAAACAGCTCGACCTTCTGTAGCGTTTCCATGTGGAGGCTGACGGCAATCTGACCTGTCAGCCGAGGCGGAAGCACTTCTAGGATGTCCTGCAAAGGTTTCATTTTTGTAGGATTTATATATTCAGCACCCGTTCGTCGGTGAGCTGATTCTGGGAGGCCATGTAGACGAAGCAGTTCAGCACCCGCTCCTGGATGGCCGGGTTCACCTTGCTGAAATTTTACAAATTTTTAGAATGCTGGCATTTTCTATATTTTGCGATCATAATTACCGGTATTTCATATAAAACTTGACGGCGTCCATTTTCTCCTGATACTCGGCCCTCTGCTTGTTCATCACCGACACCACGTTGCCCACGGAACCTGAGAAAAATGACATTTACTTAGAAATTTTAGAAAATAATGAAATTGTGGAAAAATAAGCTTTTGAATTTAAAAAACTAAAAAGCCCGATTTTTGGCCCACCAATAATCACGGAGAACACCATCAACCCCAGCAGAGTATCCACGCACTCGAGCATGTTCTGCGCCGAGTTCTCGGGCCAAGGCTAAAAATTGGGGATTAGTGGTTAGAACACGAACTAAAACCTGCTGCCCACATGTCGTGATTGTCAACGAGGACCAGTAGATGCTCATGCTGTACTCCTTGGTGAAGTTGGAGAACGACCATTCGACGTAACTAAAAATAAAGTATTTTATACGGTTTGAGGGCCATGAAACGAACCCCCGTTGCCGCCAATATTCCATCAACTCTTCGATGTAGACTGTTCTAAAAGTTATCAGGTTGATAAGATAAAGTGAAGATTTTAATAATAGTAATGCTTATTGGCTATTTTATTTCATTGTCCTTTTAGAATGTCAATATTGACAACGCCCGATTCTCTAACTTTCCTAACGTCGGCATTTTGGATCGCCGAAATTCGACTAGAAATGCCGATACTATGAAATTCGGCATCATGAAATGCCGACATTATGCAATTTTCCCAATCGAAAATGTCGGCATTCCGAAATTTAAAATTGTGTGTTATCGATATTATGAATTCCGAAAATTCTATTTTGGACATATTCTAATTTTGCCCTTTGGAAATACCGACATTTTGAAACTTGAACTTTTGGCATTTTGATATTAGGAAATGCCGACATGTATATAAATATAAAAAGAAAAACATTCTGTATAATGCCGACATTATAAAATTTCGAAATCGCCAATTTCGACATCGTGAAAACAAGCCGATTTCTACCTATCCAGGGGTTCCGTTTGGTCCAAATCCAACGCGTCAAATTTGCTCTCATCGTACGCGCACGTCTCATCCGCATCCTAGGCATATTTTTTTACAGAAAAAAAGTTGAAAGTTAGACTTTGAAAACTTTGAAAATCGTTGCCAACAAACCTCCAACAAAATATCACACGTCGGGATCACGGGGTTGAAGACCTTCTTGTAGGAAAAGACAAATCCCGTGTCAGTCGCGTCTAAAAATTAGGGTTGGCATTTGAGGAAACCGGTTTCCGATCTCTTGGATTTGAATCAATGTTTGGATTGACCGGATTGTATTGAAATCGATTTTTCAATTGCATCCGATCGATCGATTCTGCATAAAAACCGATTTGAATAGGATCCGATTTGATCGGTTCTCGAAAAACCGGTTTTTGATTCGAAACCGATCGATCGATTTCGGTAAAAAAAATCGGATTGCGGGCGAGAAACCGAGCGGAAATGAACCGATTTATGCCGAAATTTGGATGCAAATCACGATATTCCTCATTTTTTGTGCTGAAATTGGGGGTCAGCTCGTAACTTGCAGAGCCATCATGTCTGGAAGGAATATATCCATTTTTTGGAGGCTAAGAACGGCTTAGTTTAAAAAAATCGTAGGACCACTGCCTGCCAAGCACCAAAAAAATGATTTGCATCCAAAATTCTGCATAAATCGGTTCATTTCCGCTCGGTTTCTCGCCTGAAATCCGATTTTTTTCCGAAACCGATCGATCGGTTTCGAATAAAAAACCGGTTTTTCGAGAACCGATCAAATCGGATCCTATTCAAATCGGTTTTTATGCAGAATCGATCGATCGGATGCAATTGAAAAATCGATTTCAATACAATCCGGTCAATCCAAACATTGATTCAAATCCAAGAGATCGGAAACCGGTTTCCTCAAATGCCAACCCTACTAAAAATCAGGCTACACTTTACTTTACCCCCCCCTAGCCGAACTGTTTCGACTATAACTTTTTTTTTACATTATTGTAGGCTCAAATTAAAACGCTTAGTATATTTTTGACGCTCTATCGAATGGCGTTACAAAAATCGCGACAAAATAGGCAAAAATACCGAAACTTTGAGACCCTTCGGCTGTGGGGGGTAAAGTAAAGTCTTACCAAAAATCATAGTCTAAAAGTTTCTCAACCCCTTACTATCGATGCCCTGCATCAACGAGAACAGGAAATAGATACAGGCATTCCAGTGGAAAAGCACAAAACAGGTGGTGACCACGGAGATGATCTGGAGATGTTTAGGCCGGTTTAAGGGGGAATTCTACCCGAAAAACAGCCGGAAACATGATCACTTTGACGGTCAGCGCGTGAAATTCCATCACTCGATAAGTCTAGGGGGAAAATTAGGCGTTAGAAATGTATATTTTACTGATACCTTTAATAGCCTAGTGACGCGGACGATGGAGGCAGATGATTGGATGAGAAGTAGAAGATCAAACGGCAGCAAACAGCTCAGATCTAGCCAGATACGAGAGCTAAATGGCGGCAGATGGAAAGGTGCTTTACTCGGTTAAAACTACGTGGGGTAAATTTTGCCTAAATTTTTTTTCTGCTTTTCTCGGAGTTAAAGACAACCGGATTTGAAGAAAATGGTTCCGCCCGCAAATAGTGGAAGCTAATTTTTATTTTCCGTCTGTTATAGAATAGAAATCTGTTAATATTTTTTATAAAATAAAATCGAACGTTTTTATCGGGTTTTTAGTAGTTTTCAATTGCTATAAATTTGTAAAAATAAGCTACAAATTTTAAAAAATTAAACTTTTTAGTCCGTTTTATAAATTTTTGAGCAGAAAGTTAAAAATTGCAAGAAAATTTTTTAATGCGGTTTTTATAGCTAACTGGGAAGAGGCAAAAAAGAAACTGCGAAAAATTAATGGAATTCTGTCTAAACAAACCCAGAAAAATAGTTCTTGGCAATCATTCGGATATTTGTGACCGGTGTCCCGTCGAGGAGGTAGGTGGTACTAGAAGAAATCGTAGATAAACGAGCAAAACTTTACCGTGATTGAATGAAAATGTCAAAAATAAAAACGGCATCGAAGAAGAGGTTGAGCAGCAGCCATTCCCGGAAATACCCAAAGTAGATGTCGTCAAAAATGAAGATTGACAGAGCAACAATGTTGTACAAAACCTAAATAATTTTGATAATTGTGAACACCTCTCATGTCTAATAAATTTGGTACTTTTCACTGAAAATCATACTCCAATACTGACGACAGTTGTCCAGAAATAATAGGCGCGGCTGTTTGGGCTAATGGTGAAATAGATGACAGCTCTAAAGCAATATTTCCCTATTTCTTATCTTTTGAAAAAATAAGATGAAAAGTTATTAAAAACTTGCAAAAAATGGTCTAACGCTGCGGTGAGAAAAGTTTTTGGCGGTGGAGGTGGTGGGACATCGGGCGCAGAAGGCGGTGGAGGTGCTTTAGCCGTCTCCGCTTCACTTCTCGTCACCTAAAAAGCTACAATAAACTTCCTAAATTACGCTACCGATGGTGCCAACTCAAAAACAGCCGACGGATCGACGTCACTCCTCTGGTCCCCTTCCTCCGAGGCAGAGACCAACCAATTTCGGACGAGCTGAAAGAAAAATATAAGGTCGGCTCGAAGGCCGACACTTACGATGACGGTCCGGGCCAGCCGGGAAAAACTTCGAGCTCGAACACCACCGCCTTCCATATCGTGGGCATCTCTAGAAAAAGATTCGGTAAGACTTTACCCCCCCACAGCCGAAGGGTCTCAAAGTTTTCGGTATTTTCGCTGAATTCATCGGGATTTTTGCAACGCCGTTCTATAGAGCGTCAAAAAATATACGAAGAGTTTTAATTTGAGCCTACAATAATTTAAAATTAAAAAGGTTATAGCCAAAAACTTCCGGCTGGGGGGCACAGGAAAGTGTAGCCAAAGATTCAAAGTAAAAATTAGGAAAACCTGGAATCCCCGGACACGGAGTTGATGTCTAACCGAGATGGTTGCGGCTCGAGGCGGCGTTTGTTCACGTCCTAAACAAATTATTTTTTACATTCACGAATTTTCGGGGATTTGGTATTTTCGGATAGATACCGACACGCAAAACCCCGACGCCCAAAATGCCGACAGCCAAAACATCGATAGCCTAAAACTCGACAGCCATAATCCCGACATATTCCGGCAGCAAAATCCGATGCCGACAGCCAAAATACCGACAGGCTAAATCCCGACATTTTTCGATGCTAGTTTGAATGCCATTGCTTTTTTAAGCAGCTATTTGCTCTGTCGGGATTTTGACGTGCTCCTCGCTAGCGCACCCCCAATTTCCCGTTGAGCCCAAGCACGTAGAGGGGCTTCTCGGAGACGATGCTCAACCGCTGCATCTTGCCCGGCATTGAGCGCGGCATTTTGAGGGATAGAAAATAGTAGCTTGAATCGATAATTATTATACAACGGTTTGGCGCGGGTGCTGGCCCGATTGTCCGTAGCGCCAGGAAACTCCTACAATTTCCGGCTGGTTTCCGTCAGCCGACCAGGACCAATTGCCCGCACTCATTCGCTGTGGCTTTTCCCGAATTTTAGCACAACTTCACGAACCTTGTTTGTTTCTCCTTGTTCATCATCGTCGTTAGAATGTCGTCTTTGCGCTTCATCGGTTTCCGCTTCATCCGCTTCCGCTTCATCGTCCCCGTCAGTGACATAATTCCTTTTTCTCGGCAAAATATAGTCATTTTTCCGGCTTTTTTCTTGATCCTCGATGACTTCTAAACAAAAAGACTTTAGAATATAGCTTTTCCAACCTTCCACCAGTTCCCTGGGCGAAATCTGGGACGTGCCCGGAACTTCCAAGTCAAGCGCTGTCAGCATGGCTTCTGAAAATGCGCAGTTTTGTGGAAAATTGGTAAGAGCGCTGTGGTAGCTTGAACTGGTAAGTAGCCTTACTCGGCTCGATGTCCACTGATTCGTGAGAGCCCGAGTGGAAACCCTGATCGCGGGAAGACAGCGGGGGCGATGGTTCCATTCTGATCATTTATGTTAGTAAGAGCACCACGAGAGCGAGTGAGAGAGTGAGTGAGAGTGAGCGAAACAGCGAGAGAGAGAGAGAGAGAGAGCGAGCGAGTGAGTAAGAGAGAGCGCGTGAGAGTGAGAGAAAGAGAAAAAAGGTGAGAGGGAGCGAGTGAGTGAGAGAGATCGAGTGAGAGAAACAGAGAGAGAGCGAGTGAGGGTGAGAAAAACAGAGAGAGAGAGCGACTGGGTGTGAGAAAAACAGAGAGAGAGAGCGTGTGAGGGAGAGAGAGAACGAGGGAGAGTGAGAGAAACAGAGGGGGAGAGAGAGCGAGAGATAAAGATAGCGAAAGGGGGAGTGAGAGAGACAGCGAGAGAGAGAGACAGAGCGAAAGAGAGAAAGCGAGAGAGAGAGAGCGAGAGCGAGAGACAAAGAGAGCATCTCTCTAGACCACTAGATCCTTATAACAGTAGAGCTACTCAAAAGCCGGGTCCTTTCATTATAAATTCTGGTAGTTGGGTGGGCTTCTTTCCCTAGGGATGAATCATAAATCAGCGCAGGTTTCAGCCCGGAAAAACGCGATATCGCATTTTATCCGCTGCAAGCGGAAATAGGAAAATCCTAACATAGCCCCGACCCAAGATCTCCATCGATCCCTAGCAAAACCCCTAATAGCGGAAGTGTCATTCGGATGTTTTCGCCGGCCTTCCAGCGGATTTGGCGGTTGTCATGGAGGGGGAGAGATGATCCCCCTTCTCGTGTGTCTGAAATGAGGGACAATTGCACCCTTCTAGGCGTCCTCTGATTAGTGCCCCTCGTCCATCCCCAAATGGCAGCTTTCGGGTCAGCGGCAGTTCTTTACAATTCGTAATCCCCTTTTCATCATTGACTTTCTCGCTCTCGGGGCTCATTTTCAAAGGCTTATTTTCATTATGCCGAATAGTAGAATGCCGCAGTGAATTTTTCAAAATTTTCAGGTTTCGAAACCTCATTTTGCGGAAAATTGGAGTTGAAATGCCGAAAATCCTTTGTCGATGGCCGTCTTGTCAAAATTGAATTGTCGAGCTTGTCGAAAAACTTGTCGACACTTCATTTTGTCGAAATTTTATTTTGCTGAAAATCAGAATGTCGAAAATTCGTTGTGAAAATCATCGTGTCGAAGAGATTTACTCGCGCAAATTATTTTGTCGAAATTTACGTTAAATCGTTGTGTGGACTTTTCAATACGCTAATTTTTCAATTTCCACATGTTTAAGATGAATTAATACCGACAAGATCCATTTCCGAAAAATGATTTTCGACAGATGGAAATTACGCCAAAAATGATTTTCAACGTGCTGAATGCAAATAAATTCTAACAATTTTAGCGTTTCGATATACCGCACCCTAAATTCCTGCAAAAATTGTCCATTTCAGTGCCACCCGGCTCAAAATCCGTTCAAAAAAACGTTTATTTAGCAAGCTCGCGCAGTGGGGGGGAATTGTGGCTGGAAGGGGTGTGTTGTGTTGGGTATCGCGACTAGCGTAGACTGCTAAAAAGTGGATAGGAGGGGGGCGGATACACAAATGTCATAAACCGGAAGCTGCGACAGGTCGGACGGGGGATTGCCAGCCGGGGGGTTTGGGCCCGAAGAAAGGATACAAAAACGTTTTCCCCGGCCAGCCATCACAATACCAACAAAATGGTTCTTTGGCATTATCGGGGGGGGGGTTAAAAATTCCGATTTTCGACCAAAATTTTGTATTTTTTAAAATTTGGGTGGTTTTTAGACAGCTTTCCCATTTAAGAAATAGTTAAATTTTGCTAAGATACTATCAAATACGTTATTTTACTAGGCATTTCTGGAGTCATACGAAATTTGGTCATCTATCCCCCCCTGATAATGCAAAAGACCCTAAAAATAATCACAAAGGAATGCGGTGCTGTGGTTGCAATGCGGGGGGAATGGTTTTTGTTGGGATTTGCGATACGCGTCGGGGTTACGGTAACAAATGAAGGGCGATAAATACTGGCTGGAGAAGGGGGAGTGGGAATTGGCCATGATGTGGGCTGTGTCCGGGCGGTGACGATCAATCGCCCCCGCTTTTACTCGTTGTCCTCGAGCGACAAGTGGGTGATCTTATTGAAGTCGAACTCGGTGGTGGTGCCCCGCTCGAAAATCTCGAGCACGTCGGTGCACGTCGTCATGAAGTGTGAGGTCGGGTCGTAGGATCGGGAGATGAACACCTGAAGTGGGGAAATGGCTTGGGCTTAGGCTTCGACTTGGGCCTAGGCTCAGGTTTAGGCTTAGGCTTCAACTTAGGATTAGCCCCAAGCTCAGGCGCAGGCTAAGGTTTATGCTTAGCTTTAGCTTAGGCTTATACGTAGCATTAGCTTCGGCTTAGACTTATAGACTCGGCTTGGGATTAGAGTGTGTCGTGTTTGAATAATTATTTGAATATATTCGAGCCCGCTCAAATAAATTATTTGAAGGCTTCCCGGAAATTATTCAAATAATCGGCCAAATAACGGAACCACCTCCGCTCCGATTCAAATATATTTGAACATATTCAAATAAAGCCGAGCTGGACAAGCTCAACGAAATTTGAAAAATCGCGCCCATGGATTCAAGAAGGGCCTTTGTTGAACTTAGAATAGCACCGCCGACCATTTCCTAGCTGCTATAATGCCGAATAGTGAAAAATGACGATATTTTTCGGTATTTCGGGATTGTTAGGGTTTCCAGTTTTTCGGTGATCGGAATCAGCGGCAGACAGCCAAAGTGCCTATCGGCTCGCCAAGCGCAATATAACAACTGTCATAATGCCTACTTAAAAATGCCGACGTGCTAAATGCCGAAACGCGAAAATGCCGACGGGCGGTTTTGTTTCGAAATGCAATGCTAACATCTATATCGAAAATTTTTTGTGTCGGCATTTTTGTTGTCGATATTTTTGATGCCGGCATTCTGCAAAAATGGCGTTGCAGGTCTATGCGAAATTTGGCGGTTGATATTTTAGCCCAACTGGTCTTGAAATTTGACATTTCTTATTTGAATCAACGATTTGACTAGGTTTTGTCAAAAGGAGAGTGATTTGACAAAGCTCGGCTTTATTTGAACATGTTCAAATATATTTGAATCGGCACTCCGGGAGAACGGTTATTCAAATACCGGTTCTGGATTATTTGAATATCCGTTATTTGGATTTATTTATTCAAAGTGGATTTGTATTTGCAAACGACACACTCTACTTGGGATTAGGCTTAAGCTTCGGCTTAGGCTAAGGTTTACGCTTTGCTTAGGCTTCAACTTAGGCTGGGGCTTAGCTTTAGGCTTCGGCTTAGGCTTCAGTTAGGATTAGGTTTAGGCCTCGATTTCCGGTTAGGATTAGGCTTCAGCGTAGGCTTAGACTCAAGCTTCGGCTTGACGAAAAATTGCTCAAATATGCCAAAAAGCCGCTTACCTGAGACTCCTTGCCCAAGTCGGTCGGCTCGTAGACGTCGGTGATGCTGATGAACCTAAAATTATATTAGCAATTTTTCGATCTCCCTTCCGTAGCCTACTTTTCGGTGATCGGGCCGAGTAACTGAAGCCCAGGCAACACCTCTGCTTCCGGGTTTCCGGTCTCGACCGTCGTCGACACCATCGCGATATACCATCCCTTCGGGGAGACCATATTCGTGTTCGACACCAGCGACACGTAGATGTCTAACGACGCAAGGAGATAGGCTTTTAGTAACGACACCTACCGTAATGGCGGCCGACCTGCTTCTGCGGGATGATAATCTGGCAGCTGGGCACGTCGTTGGTGTTGGGGATTGGGTGGTTGAGGAGGCAGATGGCGCGTACGACTTGTCCGGTCTTGGTCACCTTCTCAGGGGCGTAGGAGGGGTCGCAGTAGATCTAAAATAGATAGGGTAGCTTCATATAGCCTAGAATCCCCCGACCTGCTTGCCCTTGACGACCTCGTCGCCACATTTCACGCCGATCGCCTTGCCGTTCTCGTAGACAATGTTGTCGACCTGCTTGTCGAGCATGTACGTGCCGCCGTAGATGGCCGAGAGACGCGCGAAGCCCTGAATTAAGAATATATTATTTTACCTTCCCAAAAATACTGTTGTGATATCCAAATTTCATTTGTCGAAATGTCAAATGTCGAAATTTCATAACATCGAAAATTATAACGTCGAAGGTTCATAAAATCGAAAATCGTAATGTCGAAAATCTAGACCTATAAATCACTTCAAAAATTCCAAATATTTTATTAAATCCAAAGTATTAAAATTTCGATGTATTGAAATGTTGAAGTTGCGATTGTCGGCATTATGGAATTTCGACATTATCGACTTCGAAAGCACGATTTTCGAAATTTTGAAATGTTGGCATTGTTAATTTTAGCATATTCCAGTTTCGACATTTCTAATTTCTATATTAATATATTTTCATATTTTGAATTTCGTCGCCATTAAATGTCGTTATTATGAATTTCCACATTTTGAAATGTCGGCATTACGAAATTTTGTGTTTATGAAATTTCGACGTTATAAAATGCCGATATTATGAAACCTCGACAGCAATGCTTTTTCGAAATTATCATTTTCAACATTTTCAGGATAAAAATTAACCCAAAAATCTCGATAAAAAGGCACCTGTGGCAATTCTCCGAGTCCGTAGAGAGGGTAGAGATATGGCGACTTTCCATAACGAGCCAACGAGTCCGAGTACAGCCGGATTTTCTCGACGGTCGGCGCGAACAGCTGGTTCTTGTACCTGAAATAGTTGCTCTATCATTTTTAGCTCATAAAAACATACTCGTCATCGCGGTAGAGCGCTAGGGCGTGTCCGGTGAAATCGGCCGTGTTCTCGTCCAGCCCAAACTTCTCGTACACCTGAAAATGGCATGTTTTTTGTGAGGTAAAAGTTGATGTTACTCCGTTTTATCAAATTTGCGCCTGTTATTGTCACAGTTATTTTATTTTTAACTATTTTGGGCTGTAATTAAAAGATAGTTTTTGACGCTCTATCAAATGGCGTAACTGAATTTTTGTAAATGTGTCGAAAATGCCGACAACTATGGTTCCAAGGCTCAAAACTTCTAGGCGCAAAGCACGTCCATATCTTGTTTTTGCCGTAACTTTTTTTATTTTACGTTATTTTGGGCTCTAATTCCAAATTAAATATCATTTTTGATGCTCCATCCAATGGCGTATTCAAAATGCCGACAAATCGTGTAGCGAAATGGCGGGAATGTCGAAAGGTAGCTTTTCAACCCGATTTGCAAAGGTCTCTTTGTTTTTGCCATAACTAATTTATAAAACCTTATTTTCAGCTGTGATTAAATTTCGTAGTATATTTTTTGACGCTCTACCAAATCGCGTCAAAAAAACCCAAACCATGGCAAAAATAGCTAAAATTACCTGTTGCATTGTGTTGGTGTTCGGGTCGAGCTCCTGCCAGGTCTCCTTATTGTTCGCGTCGAATTGCTGCACCCAGACGAGGAATTTCTGAAAGCGGAATTGACAAAAGGCATAAAACCAAAAAGTTTATATAAAAAGAAGAAAGAAAAAGGGTTTATCTAAAAAAATCTTACCTTAAAACGGCGCTTCTCAAACATTCCCATCAAGCTCGTCGACAGGGCCTCCATCTCGTCGGCCGGGACTTTGTAAATCTAAATATAAAAAATAACAATTTTCTTTTTCTTTATAATAAAAACTCTTCCCGTTTTTAAGCTAAAAATTAAGCCAAAAATCGTCCTGGAGAATAAAGGGTATAAAAAACTCCACTACCCACCTTTCCGCCGCGGTAGACGTACGATCCCTCGATCGACTTGAACTCGAGGTATCTGGTGACCCCGGTGTGGATTAGCAGCTTCACCAGCGACCCGTTGGCCATCAGGAATTTCGGGATCAGGTCGACGTTCCAGTCGCGGCCGCGCCCCATCTCGCTCGGCGGCTTCGCGTTGGCCCCTGGGGACGCGAATTTAAAATTTTAATTTTCCTAATTTGATTTCTACCCTTAAAGCGGTGCTTTGGCATTATCGGGGGGATTTGCCTTAGGATGTAATTTGTCAATATATAAAATGGAGTGATACGCCGATAATTATATTACTAAATTCATGAACGTGTCCAACTCGTCGGTCAACTTTTCAAAACAATTTGAAGTTTCTGGAATTTTTTGTTACTTGAAATGGAGCTAAATTTACTAAAAGAGTGTTACGGTACTAGGCATTTCTGTGCATTAAAAAAATTTACCCCCCCCCGATATTGCCCAAGAACCAAGCCGCATTCCCCCCACCAACCTTGAAACTTTTCAAAGAGTTGCTCGAGCGGGGTGAGCGACGCGCTCTCGCCGCCGTAGTAGTTGTTGCGGTCCATGTGCAGCACCTTCTTGCCGGAGACGGACAACATGCCGGAGATCACGCATTCCTGGAAATAAATGGGATAAATATAATTTTGCTGTCAGATTGATTTAAGATTCGCTCTTTAGTTTTAAAAATCAAGAAAAATTGAGAAATTCGTACCTTGAGGCCGGTGCCGAGGACGATGGCGTCGTATTCCTCATCCATTTCAGCTGGTTAGTGATGTCGGGAGTACCTGAAAAATAATGGAAATTAAGGTAATCTATATCAGAATAGAACAACAAAAAAACCAGTTAGAAAAAATGGAAATATATGTAGACGACGACCTGGACGACGCTTTTGAAGCGGACACAAACTTTGAAAAGTATTTGAAAAGTTTTGCTTATTCAAATTTTTGATGAGAAAGAGAGGGAGGGAGAGAGAAAGACAGAGAGAAAGAGAGAGAGAGAGAGAGAGAGAGAGAGAGAGAGAGGGGGAGGGAGAGAGATAGAATGAGAGATCGTGAGTAAGGGAGGGAAAAAGAGATAGGCATAAAGTGAGAGAAAGAAAGCGAGTGAGCGACAGTCAAAGAGATAGAGAGATAGAGAGAGCGAGAGAGAGAGAGAGAGAGAGAGAGAGAGAGAGAGAGAGAGAGAGAGAGTCAGAGAGTGAGAGACATCGCGAGAGCGAGAGAGAGAGAGAAAGTGACAATTAAAATGAGAGAGAAAGATTCTTAAAAATTCCAAAACCCTCTCCTACGGTATCTACACCACAACCCCGGACTGAACTCGTGCACCCCCGGTGAACCCAAGCGGAATATCTATTCCTAGAATCATTTCGGATCGATTGGAAATGGATGTCTGAGTGGCAGAATTACAAGGGGCACACACAGGGGCGAAGAAGTGGACCATTCGACGCACCGCACACCGGGCAGCTGGAAAAACAGGAACACGAGGGAGGGGGAGACTGCTAGGCGGGGATGGGGAGGACGTGGAAACTAGAACTCCCGCATCCCTAGCCCCCCCACACACACCAACACTCTCTTTCTCTAACTAGCTCTCCCTCTCTTTCGCTCTCTCTCTCTTGTCTATCGCTCGCACGTTTTGTCGCGAACTACCGCTGGGGGCAGGGTGGGTGCGCGGAACACGCGGAAATAGGTTGTGAAAAATATGTTGTAGCTTGCAAAAATATGGCCCAAGCCGACACCTAGACCTACGCCCAAGTCTAATCCTAAGCCTAAGCCAAGCCAAGCCTAAGTCTAAGCTTAAGCCTAAATCGAAGCCTATGCTTAAGCCTCAGCCTAAGCCTAGGCCAGGTCTAAGCCTGAGCCTAAAACTAAACCTAAACCTAAGTCTAGATATAAGCCTAAGCCTAAGCCACGGTTAAGCCTCAGCCTACACCTGAGACTTAGCCTAAGCCAAAATCTCAGCCTAAGATCGGCGTAAGCCCACGCCTATGCCCCAGCACCCACCAGATCCGGAAAAACATGAATCGACCCCCCCAGCCCGCCAACCTCAACAGGAACGCAAAAATATGGAGGCCAGAGCCGTGCTCGATGCGGAGAGGGCGAGCTGGCTCTCTGAATGGTGGGGTGGAGAGGGCCCGGCGCGGCTGCGAATCGATGCTGAGGACGGACGAGACGGAGAAGGGGTGAGCGAGGAGCCGTCCCTTCAACCCCCCTCTACACCACAGCGATCCCCCCTCTATTTGGGCCCTAATTGGGAACACCGCATCACACCCCGCCGGGGCCTGTGAGAAGCACCCCTCGGGAGACCGGCGGAATTTTGGTAGTTTTTTGAGGGGGGGGGGGGGCTACGGTAGGACGAGTGGCATGGTGGTGAAATTACGTGAGGGATGCGGTTGGGGGTCCGAAAAAACAGCTCTAGCGGCTCGGAGGAAGCTCGGATTTGGGTGGTTTTTACACCATTCCAAAGCTCTTGAAAATCTTTAAAAAACAGCGCCTCTAATTTTTTAAACAATTGTAATGTAATGTAATTTTAACCCGTGTAATCACACAAAAAAATCAATAAAAGAGCTGAAAACAACGTATTGAATTTTTTAAACGATTTATTTTCTTGGTATGATCCGTTGCATTAGAAAATTTTTCAGAGTTTTTCCGGTACTTGACTGTTAGCGGGAGACCAAATTTTTACGTGAAATGTGAAATTTTAAGTACCGAAAATGGTTAATTTTCGATATTTCAAAAAAATTTAAAAACATTTTTGTGACTTTCTAGCAGCCAAAACCGACAAAAAACAGTAAAAAATAGATTTAATGCAACAGGTTGTGGCGGAAAAATTAGGTCCCCTCTAATCCCCGCTAACAATCCAGTACCGCTTTCCCAATGCCGAAATCCGCGCGATTCCGCTTGAAAACGACGCGAAATGGCCTCAACCCCTACTCCAAAATGCGGCCCTCGCGGTCGTGCCGGGACCACGACCCGGCCATTTGGCGAGAGACAGAAAATGAGCGATGGCGCCTCGACAATCGGCTTCCAGGGCGATGCCATCTGGGCCTAGGAGCGAGTCGTGGATGGAATTCGTTTTCAGCACGTCGAATGTACAGCAGCCAGTCGGTGCGGTGTGTCCAGTTGGCGGCCGACCAATTATGGTGTTACTCACCGGGCTGGGAGTGGGCAGACTGGTCGGTGGCTTGATGGGTTTGCTGCTGGGGGCTATGTTATGACTGGAAAAGCAATGGGGGGCTCTGCTTGCTAATGAAGTCTGTGAATGGAGAAAAATAACGTTATTTTAAGGTGGTGAATTCCGAAATCGATTCTGGACTATTAGCGGGGGGGGGGGCAACATTTTAAGTCTTTTTTACTTATTTTTATCGTGTTTTAGTGGTTTTTCATTACTAGAAACTTATAAAGCTCCAGCAAATTCAATTTTTTTTTGTTAATTCTGATACAGTTTTGAGCGAAATTCAAAAGTTACTGCGGTTTTACTACTGATTCCCTGATTTTATTTACTTAAAAACGATGGCTATGCCCACTAAATTTCCCTCCTTTGTATAATAGCTCATACAAAATTCCGCAAGTTAATAAGTATAAAGATAAAGAAACTTTCTGACGATGGAAACTGCGCCGCACTTGCAAAGTTTAAGCCAACCATAAGCCAAAGCTTAAGCCCTAACTTCGTTTCTCCAAAAAACGCTTTCCACTTCAAAACTGATGTATTCAGGTGACGTCGGCCCCCGGAAACGCAACCCTCACCTCCCGGGCTCAAACCCGCCGGCTCCTATCGACGTCCATAGTAGCCGCGTGTAGCCAATTGGAAAATGCCCGGTCACCCCGTGTTGACTGACCTGTTTGCGCGCGCTCTCGATCTCGCTCCCCCGTTATTTCTTGCTCAATGCTATCGAATGGTGTTTCAGTGGAAGATGACTTCATAACACATCGATAGTGCTTGATTTTCAGCCCTAGAGATCGGATTTTATGGGTGAAATCTTGCATAGATCCTTATCCCAGTATTAAGCATAGATATCTGGCTTTAAAACTGGTTTATTTCCGGGCGATATATCTTTTTAATTATGGCGAAACCTTACTTTCACAACGACGATTTTGATTTTAAATCGAGAAGATTTAGCCGAATTAGGTAAACAAGGAAAAAGTTATGAAATCGGTTACACCTTTCCGGCCGGGATGACGGGGCTATTTATTGATTAGCTGCCGATAACTATTTCAAAAGATTTCCGTTATCTATTATTCGTTAGTGCCTCCTTGCCATATTAAGGAAATTTTTAGCCGGGGGCAACGTTTCTAGATAGACGCATCAAAATGCATCTGCCCGTGCAAACCTCGACCCCAATTCTTCATGCCATAGTTATTGGCTTCACTCTTATTTCGAAAAACAAATAAACTTTCCAGATTGAATTTGTTCTCTTTTTATTGACTTTTCTGGCCTCTTTATATCCCCTGGTTCTTTTGCATTATCGGTGGAGGCGGTATCTACTTTTTTCTAAGGATCCATATTTGTAGTATCAATAGACAAAATATTTCTAAGCTGCTTTTTACCATTCTTAATAGAAGAAAAAATATTCTGCCATTTTTATTTATACAAAATACACAAAAAACTATTGATTCTTCGATCAAAAATCGCCGATTTTCGATGTTTTCTAACTTTTTGATTACTTTCCCACCTACATAAAGTTAATTTTTGATAAAAGCTTTATAAGCGCTTCCTATGACGTTACGTTATGCATTTACGGACTTATAGAAAAAGTTGGTTCCGCCTCCCCCCGATAACGCGCAAGAACCTATCCCCCTAAAAACAAACTTTACAGAAAATCCGTCAGGATGCTGGCCATGCTGAATCGGGTGTTGGACTGGTTCCGGAGCCTGTTCTGGAAGGAGGAGATGGAGTTGACGCTCGTTGGCCTCCAGAATTCCGGCAAGACGACCTTTGTTAACGTTATCGCGGTGGGTTCTATAAAAATGTATTTGAGACTATCATGTATCCATCAGCCCTGGTCCGTAGGAAATGAAGGCAATTTTAGAGTGGTCAATTCACGGAGGACATGATCCCGACGGTTGGCTTCAATATGCGAAAGATTACGAAGGGGAATGTGACGATTAAGGTGGGTATTCGTAATATTGGAAAACGACACCAGCATAGACTAAAAAACTAAAGCTAAAAATAGCGCATTTTTAGTTGTGGGATATCGGAGGTCAGCCGCGATTCCGGTCGATGTGGGAGCGGTACTGCCGAGGCGTGAACGCTATCGTATTTATGGTCGATGCGGCCGATGAGGATAAGCTTGAGGTGGGTGGAAAAGATGAAATCTCTCGCTCTCTCTCTCTCTCTCTCTCTCTCTCTATCTCTCGCTCAATTACAAAACTAACTTAGGCGTCGCGCAACGAGCTGATGCAACTTCTCGACAAGCCCCAGCTCGACGGGATCCCGGTGCTCGTGCTCGGCAACAAGAAGGACCTTCCCGGGGCCCTCGACGAGCCTCAACTCATCGAAAGAATGTAGGTGTCAACGTCGCTTTTCCTGACAATAACCCTTCCAGGAACCTCGCCGCCATCCAGAACCGCGAGATCTGCTGCTACTCGATTTCGTGCAAGGAAAAGGAAAATATTGGTGAGTCATGCTCAAAAAAAGAAAAGTGGCTGCCAGATGCCTAAAATTTATTTTTAAACGATATCAAGCACCTCAAATCCCATTTTCAAAGTTATTTCGGTTCTTGCGCATTATCGGGGGTGGGGCTTTACCAGGGCGGGGAACCAATTTTTTCTAAGGATCCAATTTTTCTACCATTAGTAGAGGAAATGTTTATAAGCTGTTTTTTGTTATTTCTAAACGCAAAAACTATACAACTTTTGGTCCGAAAAATACAACTATTCGTGCTTTTTCCACAAAAATCTCGACTAAAAAGTTTTTTATTGTTTTTCCACCCAAAAGATAGTGAAATTTTGCTAGAAGCACTATTAATACATTTACTATTCCGTTACTAGACAATTCTGCTTATAGGAAAACAAAAGGTTGCCCCCCCCCGCGATAATGCGAAAGAACCGTGGCTGCTAAATGCAATTTAAAAATAGAAAGCCTTACAAAAAATAACACTAATATTTTAGATATTACGCTTCAATGGCTCATCCAGCACTCGAAGACTCCCCGATAAACAAACTGCCGGTGCTACACCAGAAAGTCCTCCATATTAGCGAAATTTTATCGTTTTTCTATTGAAATTTTGCCAATTACTACTTCCAGAGGGGCATAATGGAACTGGCTTTTAGATAAGGTTATCAAAACCCTAAATCCTGCTCGTTTATGCCTCACTTAACCTGTTTTCCATTTCCGCTCCTAGCCCTATCCCACTAAATCTCCGGCCATTTCCACCTTCCCCATTCAGCCTATAGTCGTGTTGTACAGGTGCCCCTTTCCTATCAACGGAATCTCCCCCACACTTCATTTCCTACGGAGCCCACCCCTCCAAATCACCAAAAAAAATTCCACCGCTGCTTCTGAGAACTTAGTGAAACGTGTGATAAACATTTTTTCGACTCATTTCCGGCCCACAACTTGTGCGGTATCCTGTCTCCGGGGTCGAGGGATTGTGAGAGTTTTTAAGACGTTTTTTGCGCTTTCTAAAGTCTTCAAATTTTTTCAAAAACTGTGGACAAGTACGAAAAACCAACCGCACAATCCATCTAGCCCCTTAACTGCTTCCTCACCGCCTTGTAGTTACTTTCCCCCGTTCGCAGTATCTTTCCGTACTTTCCGACCTGGCTATCTATCACCACCTCCCCCACACTGTCGGATAACTTTGTAATTTTGTATGAACATGATAAAGCGTGCTTGTACAAGTTACCGGTTTATTAAGCTTACAGCATACACTTTACAACGCGTGTTGGGCTTGGGCAAGGCGTTTGTAGGCGAAGAAGAGGCACACACCGACGGCCGACGGGATGACAATGTCCCAGACGAGCGGTGGGATCGCCTGCAATAGGAATATACAGGGTGTCAAAAAAAAAAGCCTCTAGAGTCCGGGGTATCGGATTTTTACGATTTAGGTATCTATCGAACGCTCTCGACAAGCTGAGCATATTTGTGCTATAGGATTTTCGATATCTAGAAGATTTGACTAAATTTACGAAATATTTCGTGCAAAAAATTGCATAGTTTTTGTAAAAAAAACTCGTATTAATCGGCTTTAGCGCCATCCAGGTTGTATTTTCTCAAATGGCTTTCAAAAAGAACTACCAAAAAAACGTAAATATTAGAAATTCGGCCAGCTTCGCAAAAACCTTCATAAATACAAGAAAAGTCTGGAATCTCGAAAATCGGCGAGAATCTGCCCTCAACTCGTTGAGAGCTTTCGATAGATACCTAAATCCTAAAAAACCGGGACCATGACATTTCCGCCAACGACAATTCCGCCAACGGCCAAAATGCTTGTAAAATGCGCTGTTTCATGCGTGTAACAATCCTAACTATTTTTTTCTCGCCCGGATCTAGCTATTACAGAAGAAATAACAAACGTATGATGGCTTTTTCTTCAAAATCGGATTTTGCGCCTGAAAAGGTAAAAAACGCCATATGATGCCCAAAACAACCCTCCCGCATCGTAATTTCTTCTCTACTAGCATGTACTTACGTTGATTGAATTTATTAATGCCAAAAACACAAAGAAAATCTTTAATTTGGAAAGTTTTGTGTGTTTTTGGACTCACATTGGCCGGAAATGTCGCTGGCGGAAATGTCATGGTCCCAAAAAACCGACACCTATCCCCGAATTCTAGAGTTTTTTGGGACTCCTTGTCAGAGTAGGACAACAACTCACCAAGTTTACTCGTTTACTTTGCGCCGGCGCTGGGGTTTTATTCGGTTGGGTTGGGGCGACGAAGGCTTCTTCCTTTTTCAGATCTCCGATCTAAACAGAGCGTTATGAGGGCAGTTGGACCTTACGTAATAATCTTGCATCATCTCGATCGCATCAGCCGAATGCCCGACATCGTTGAAGGCCACGGTCGCGTCCTATAAAGAATAAACTTTCTATTGATTAAAAACTATAGATTAACTTTCTATAGCTTCAAAAACTATAGAGAACCATTCTATTCTATGGATTAACAAAAACTATATTTTAAAAGCTTACCGTCCCAGCCTCGGCCACAATCGCGTCACCGCCTCCAGGGTGTTCGTTGAGGAAATTTGTGACGTCGTAGACTTTCCCCTAAATTTTTAACTTAAAAATTACACAATTTAAACACAAACCTTGTATATAAACCAACAAGAATCCTCGGTTTTGTGCTCGGCCACCTCTTGCGCGCTGATTAATCGGCCCATCCTTTTTCTGGAAAGTTTTCTATGCTCAGAACTACAGAGATTGAGCAAGAAGTGGTTAGGGCCACAAAACATTCAAAAGGCTTTATCAACGTTTAGAAGCATTCATACTGATTTGTTTTATACAGTTACGCCACACGCCAAGCGACAGTTTTCGATTGTATTCATGGAAATCGTTGACACGGATTTTTAGGAATGAAAAAGTTTAAAAGAACAACATTTAACAAGTTAAATAAATATTACGGTTTCTAAGCTTATTGTTATGGATTTAATTTATTAAATACTTTGAAACAAAGTAAAGGGGAATGTCCAATGGGCCTTTCACTTTCGCCGAGTTTGAATGGGAGGTCGGGGGGAAGTGAGAGATAAGGGCGAGCATGTAATTTGGACCCCCACGTAATCTTGGGCAACTAGCATTGGGACCGAAAGATGAAACAGAAGCGATAAAGCAAAGCAATTTATAGACGAGATTACGAGATCTGTGGACTTTTAATGGACAATTGGTCGCGGTTTTCGCACTATCTGCTTTGCACAGGCAATGGAGAGCGCGATCCACTGCGTCACAATCTCTGGATTGTCTTCGGTCTGGTCCTAAATCAATCTCCCGTGATCTCTCTCTCTCTCTCTCTCTCTCTCTCTCTCTCTCTCTCTCTCTCTTTCCCCCAATATTTTGATATCGCTTGTCTGCCCCTCCTCAAACAGCAGAAACTAGAGCAAATGACCAGCCCGGTGGAAGTGATCTATCAAAATCAACGCCCGGCTGGGAGCCATAAATACGGCTTTATTTTCGGCGTAAAAATTCGTTTATTCAGTGCCAAGTACAGCGTATCAACCGAATCGAATAAGACAATAGATCACAACACTCGTATCACAAGTTTTAAGCGGTTTTCAAAAGAGTCGGGGGCGACGGATCAGCGGCGCTTCGACAGCAAGTTGTCGACGTCGATGACCAGGTGCACCTTGTCCGGGAGGGTCATCTCCTGGGAAAATTGTTGTTTTTTTGTATTGTTTTTTTTGGTGATTTTTGGGATTATTAAATGGCTTCGATACCTTGATGGGCTTCTTGGCGCAGGTGTGCAGATCAACCGGCTGGTACTTGGCCCTTTCTGAATTCAATGGTTTTTTCGCATTATCGGGCACCCATATTTCTGAGTAAGACTCATAACTATCAATTATTTCAAGCTTTATAAACTGTTTTTTTTTACAATTATAAACGTAATTTTGCAATTTTTATAACAAAATAACAAATTTTTTTTGACCAAAAATGGCGAAATTTTTTTGAACGAAATTTTTCTAAGTTAAAAAAATAGTTTTTCGCGTTAAATATAGTTACTTTTTGCTGAAAACACTGTCAAATAGGTACTATTTGATTACTAGCGATTCTGGACTTTTTGGAAACAAATTATACCCCAAAAATCGGGAAGACTCAAAGTATTCAGGTTATACCATTCTCCTTCTCCGTCATCAGGTAGACGGCCGTCGAGTCACGCTGCCGAGTCATGCGCTGAAGCTGGAAGACGCCGTTGACGAGGTCAGCTGAGAATATTTAGGGGTACGCCGAAACGAAGCGGATGTACTCATGGTGCAGCGGAGCGGCAAGCAAAAACGGCGGAGCGTGTGGGGACGGCCCTGCACCGAGCACGCCACCGAAAGCTCTTCCTTGCGCTGAAAATGGCGGTTATGATTCGTTAGCTAGGGGATAGCTTTTTTTTTCTGCTTACCCTAGATTGTAATAAACCATAAATTTGCTTTTGTAGTTTTCAAGAGCTTCCGATTACTCAAAAATTAGCCCAGTTCAGCCGGCAGTATCTCGGCTCCCTGTTCGTCTACAAGTACGTAAAATATACAAAAATGTTTGCCTTGCTCTGGCGAGTATTTTGGTATACTTGGCGGCATTGTAGCAAAACGGGGGGCGGGGGGGGGAAGATAGGTAAGTCTCCAGATCCCCCCCCATCAGCCAGTCTCCAACTTTCCTATCTCGGCTGCCTGTTCATCTACAGTTGTGTAAAGTACACCAAAATGTTCGTCTTGCTCTGGCGAGCATTTTGGTATACTTTACACATATGTAAAAAAACAGGGAGCCAAGTATCGAAAAAAATTACCGTGTAGATGTCCTCCTCGCACTTTGGCATCTGGCTGATCACCTTCATGCAGTCGGCGCGGATCTTGGGGAACTGAAACCAGATCATAATTGGGGGGTAAAAGCCGACCATTTCCGCCACACGCAGAATCTCGGGCTTGGTGAGCTTGTTGGCGCAGCGGGGGTGGGCACAGTTCGGCATCTCCTCTGCAACGAGAATTCCGTAAAGTGTTCCAAAAACGTACTGTTCTTGATGGCATACTGAACCCGGCAGCCCAGGCAGTCGAAGCAGATGCGGTGGCTGGAAAAAAGTCCCTCGGGGAGGTCAAATTCACCTACTATTCCCTATAAAGAAATATGAACTATTTTTATTAGAATTTTTAAAGAGTTCTTAGATACCAAAAAACTAGTGGAACTATAAAAATGTCGAAAATATTGGACTTTTTGCTCAAAAATCTATCCAAAAATGTCGCAAAAACCTAAAAATTCCGAATTTTCAAATTTTTGTGAATATTTTTGATGGATTTCTAGCAAAAAAAATACTACTAAAAACCCTAAAAAAAGCAAGTGGCATTTTATCCTAGCCAAGTCAGAACTGCTGGCGAGGCGAAAGTTCGAGAAAAATCGGTTTAGGAAGGTAAGCCGAACTGCTAGACGTCATACCGACAATCCTGCATCACCATTCGAGCCACCCCGGGGCAACGGTTACGGCCGCGGCGGGCTTGGCACCTGAAAAAGGAAGCGGAATTACAATATCCTGATTTTTTACAACCCAACGATTTGAAAAACCCACGGAAACTTTTCCTCACAATCAAGGATCGACGGCACGTTGCCGTTGATCTCCAGCGGCACGTCTTCGATGCCTAAAAACAATAAAAAAAGTTTATTAACCTTAAAACCGTGGTCGATGACAATGGCAGTCCGACGGCTAGCAGTACACCCTGGCAACGGGCAGGTCGCGTCTGAAAGCGAAATCCTACTATATATAAAAAAATCGTGTCTGTGTATGTCCGTGCCACTTTGCATGCAACTTCCGTCATTCTGTCCGGAGGATATCTCGGAAAGGGAAGGTTTTTAAGGTATGTTTGATACGTCATTAGATGCGTAATGGTCTGGAGTTGACTGCACTAATATCAGTTTTTACAAATTCAGCTGTTTTCGACATTAAATTTAAGTTTTTGTTGAAAAATCGGGCAGCCTGCTTTGTTAGGAAATAATTAGCATCTGCCGGAAGTTGCGGCGGCTTATATATAACCCGAGAGCGTGGAATTTTTCATTTTTCTCATCGGAAATCGAAAGACGTATGCAGAGTGAAGAATATGATGGGCTTGGACGGGGCCAGGGTTGAAAAGTCGCGAAGCGGCTTTTCAACCCTGGTTTTCATTAAAAAAATAAAAGTAAAGAGCATCTATAAAGTTAGGTGAGAATAAAAACACACTGTTACAGTGGGAGATGCACATCGAGCAGAAGCTGTGCCGGCAGGGCAGCGTCTGGAAGAAAAAGGAATTAGCGGAAACCCTTGCAAGTTACCTCCATCTCATAGCTGTTCGTCTTCTGCTCCCAGCACACCCCGCAGAAGTGCACGTCCTAAAATGAAAGAGAAAAAAGTTAAATATGAAAACGAAAGAAGGTACATCAGAGACAGGGTCATGTTTGGAGGGGGACATGACGAGGGCCGACATCTCGAAAGGCTGGGTGAGGAATGATGAGCTTTTGTTTACGCCTGCTTGCTAGGTTTTTAGGCTAATGTGTATGCTAATTGCTAAAAAAGTTGAATTTTTAAAAAACTTCTCTGGGAAAACGACTTGGTAAGGTTAAAGTGCCAAAATTTGTCCGAAAACATGAAACCGAACAGTGCCGAAAAGTAGGTGCAGTTGACCTTTCCCGGCTACTGTATTTCGGCTCAATTTTGTTCTGCAGGGTTGTAAAGTATACCAAAATGTTCGTCTTGCTTTGGCGAGTATTTTGGGATACTTTACAGCTATGTGCTACCAGGGGGGAGCCGAGATACGGTATTTAACGGTTGACTCGGGGCGGCGGTCACTTATAGTTTTTAAACATGTCGCAAACGGCCTTTTAACATGATTTAGCCGCATTTCGTTAGCCGTGAAGCAGTTTTTCAAGCTGGTTTTATGCGCTTTATTTAATTAACAAAGGCATCTGTGCTATTGGAGTCTAGCATCACGTCACTTTGATCCAATGCTCCCCCCTCTCACCCACCCCAAAGGTTCCAAAGACAAAAATCAAAGACAAGCGATCCCCACATAGGAATCGGGGGTGGGGGGGGAGAGGGGAACTCCAATAGCACTCAAAGCAACCGCGTACACATCGTATCTCCTTCGTGTTCTGACGTCGCTGGGCTTTGCCGGGACCGGCCTAGACGTCAAGGAGTCAAGAAATTAGTCTCAAGTATATATCCGAGGCAGTGCTCAACGAGCCCACCCCTCCCCCAACACAATGCCCTCCGGCGACTTCCTAGCCACATGCTATCGGTTTTGTTGTAAGGTGAGCAAATAGGTTGATAAAAACTATTAGGTTGGTCGGAAAGTAGCTAGAATGTAGCTTTAGCGAATTCTTTTCCAAAAACGAGCGGCTCCGCGTAGCCAATATTTATATTCTCAAATGCGTCAAGGTTAGTGGTATATTCAGTACAGAAAGGAAAAATTTTTGCCCAATCCAAACAAAGCCAATAATTTTGTTTTTGGCGTTCTTTGCATGGGGCCAGAAAATTTTGACCCCGAGGACTTTTGATAATCGGGTGTTGCTTCTCAGTTTGCCATGGGATTTTTTTGGTTGTTTAGTGTCAGTATAGATGCGAAATGATGTCGCACATAAGTTCACAGGAAAGCGCCGTATTCGGTACTGTGAACGCGTAGACATGGATTTTTTACGCAAATTTCGCTAAATCAATCATATCTATTTTGTAAGGGGGTAGTATCCCGTTTCATTGCATTCGTAAATAAGGTAAGGAGGTTACACATAAAATAGTTAAGCCACTATTAGGCTTTGGATTGACTTCGAGAATATCTATGGAAAATTGCGAAAAAAGTTCTTGCTACTTTCCGACCAACCTAATAGCTATTGCAAAATGCAGGTTCGAAGAAGGCTTTTTAGAAGGATCCGACACCACCCGGTAAAACTGAGAAAAATTTCCCTGAGCCCAAGATCAAGCCGCCGCCACCCATCAGCACAAGGGTTTGTTAATTTGTCGAAAATTTGAAGTTTTCCTGCTTCCGGGTTGGTAGGGAAAAATATTATCAACATTTTGTACATTTTATAGCTCTCAATAGCTCTCTCCTTCTCTCGCTCACGCTCTCTCAATAGCTCTCTCTCTCACTCGCTCGCTCTCTCACCCGCTCTCTCTCTGACTCTGTCGCTATCTTTATCTCGATGGCTTTTACACTCGCTCTGTCTCAATAGCTCTCTCTCTCTCGCTTTTTCCCTAGCTCTCTCGCTCTCTCTAACTCGTTCTCGCTCTTCCTCGCTCCCTCTCTCTGACTCTATCTCTCTACAGGGTGAGGCATATATATATATATATGGCAACACTTTCCCGGCTCTCTCAAAAAATGAAGAAAGCTGGTTGGGCTTCAATAATTTGCTGAAATATAGCCACCAGTGTCCTGTAACCACTCTTAAAATATTAGAACGCAGCAACCCTAAAAACTTTTGTTCTGAAGCAAAAACTGGGTGTCGTAAGGATGGTGCTGGCACGCAACCCCTTGGAAGCCAATTTCAGCATGGTTCAGAAACGTCGTTTTGGGCACGAATGACCCCTAAAAATATGTATACTACCTAGTATTGACAGATAAAGGTATTTAAAACAATTAACTTCCTTTAAGTAGGCAGAAATTTTAGAATCGCTCTTGGCTGGTCCCAAAAATCATAGTAAAAAAAGTAAAATTGCCTTTTTTATCTTTAACCGTTGAATTGCTTGGTTTCAGCAAACGGAATTGGTTCAATCACATGCCCGAAACGTAAAAAAAATGCTTAAATAAGACAATGCAATTGGCAGGCATTTGATAATTAATTTTTATTGGCCAACAGAAGCGTGGTGAGGGGTGGGTAAGCGCGCATTTTTTGAATATAGCAAAATTCCCTCGAAGACTTTTGGTAAAAATAAATAAGATCGAAGTAAACTTAAATACCAAACCCTGGAGCAGAGCTATCAATATCCGGGGTTCTATGCGCAGCGTGCCAACACACCGCTTTTTCGACGAAATCGCTAAACTTCCCGCTACTATAAATCAAAAATTAAAAAATTTGCAACCGTTTTCATTTGTCTCCTGCATAAAGAAACACAAGTTCTTGTATGGGAAACGCCCAAAACCCCGAAAAAATAATTAGTTTTCCGAGAGCAGGCAAATTATTATGGTCTGGTGCTGTCGTTATTCTGGCATTTACAAGCCGATTTTGCATAAATTTCGCTGAAAAGTGCCATTTTTGTTGAGGGAGCTTTTGGAAAACGATTGCGTATGAAGAATAAAAAGAGTGTTAAAACAACTGTTTTATCGATCCAAATCCCGTCTTATTGTACATTTTGGCAATTTGAGCTTCGTCGGCCCGAAAACAGAGTTCGACAATCTCGAAAACAGTGTCGAAGTTTAGATTTGGGCTTTTGTTGGCGCGTACGCTGAAGTTTAAGCCAAGCTCAAGCGTTCAACGATAGTTTCCGCCATGAGGTCTGGAATTCATCGTCCTTGCTGATCATTTCCTCGCTACATGATCAATCGTTTTCCAATAGCTCCATCAAGAAAATGGCACTTTTCAGCGAAATTTATGCAAAATCGGCTTGTAAATGCAAGAATAACGCATATCTTTGATGCAAATTGCAAAGAACCCCATATTAAATTAAAAATGAAAAGTATTTTCGATATAACCTTAAAACCCGCTGGCCGATTGGGCTGAAACTTTCCTTGTTCATAGAAAATTACCTTCGCTACCTCTGCGCAAATTTTCAGCTCCGTAGGTGCCCTCTGGCTCAAATTTTTGGGGGGTCTTTTTTGGGACACCCTGATATGCCTCACCCTGTAGCTCGCACTCACCCTCACACTCTCTCACTCTCTCACGCTCTCTCCTCACTCTCCCCTCTCAATAGCTCCTCTCTCACTCTCTCACGCTCTCACTCTCTCTCTCACGCCCCATCCTTCTCTCTCACTTTCACAATCTCACTCCACTAGCTCCCTCTCTCTCGATGACTCTCTCACTCGCTCTTGCTCTCACGCTCTCTGACTCTCTCTCACGCTCTCACACTTTCTCTCACCCTCACTCTCTCACTCTCTCAATAGCTGCTCTCACTCTCTCAATAGCTCTCTCCCTCCCCCCCTCTCTCCCTCTCCCTCCCTCTCTCTCTCTCTCTCTCTCTCTCTCTCTCTCTCTCTCTCTTTACGAATAACCCTGAAAAATTTCTTTGCTCCCACTAAAAAATTTGTGGTTTGACACCTCGTTAAAAGTTAAACTTCCCGTTCTCTTAATTATTCCTCAAATTCAACCCAAAAATTTGCAGCCGCCCGTTCGTTTCGGGCCCGACCATTACTGTGGACGCTTTGGTCGACCGTCGGTGACAAAGGCCAAGCTGACTCAGCCCCGCCACGAACAAACAAGCAAAACAGCCAATTTCGCCTGTTAGCCAAAAATACGTGCTTTACCCTATTACCTCCCTGTATAAATCGATCAATTCCCATAACCAGTTCTCTTGAATGACGCGCAAAAAATGTTGAGCTCTCACGGCCTTGGCGAGAAGCGATAAACGATAGAGAGGAGATTATAAAAGTGAGAGAGCGAGTGAGAAACATGTGTGACCCTCGCGCGGTCGATGGCCGACCGAAATAGAGAACTACGCGACTGTACTCTGCCCGCACGGCCCGTCACAACAGCCGATGCGGTCAGCTAATACTACGCAAATTCACCTACGATTACGCTATGGGATTTCTTGTCAGCATGCTTTAGGTTTTGGTGCACGGTGGGTTGTATTTGAGGTACCTCTTTGCTGGGACTTTGGCAATATCGGGGGGTATGGGAAATATAGTTTTTTTCCGTGATGCAAGAGTGAGAGTGACAATGGTGTTTTTTTTGAACAAATGTGGCTATTTTCTAGTGGAAAACTATCTAGAAAAGTTAGAAAACTATAAAAATTTGAAACCTAGCTAAAAATCCGCATTTTCGTCAAAATATCGGTTTTTTCCTTTTTTTAATAAATTTTGTAACCTGTCCAGGCTTAGGAATACTGTAGAATTTTTCGCATCTAGCAAAGCTAGATTCTAGAAAGATCCCGCACCCAAAACAGACCAGTCGGCCCGAACGCCGGAAGTGAGCTCCCAAAAGCCTCACTCGCCCCGGGCCGCCGCCACTAACACAGAGTCAACAGGTATTTTCACTTTTTTTACAAGTTATTCAACTCAACAAATCAGGACGAGCAAATGGCCGAGGGACACGATGATATAACTTGACCGTTCGATCAATACAGGTCAGTAAAGGGGTTCTGGCGTGTTAGCGGGGATTTAACCCATCGCCCCGTGGGAAATTTGGCATATCAGTTGGATAGCTTTTTACGTGGTTTTTTGTCCAGATGGTTAATAAAAATATCACAATTTCGGAGAAATGCATTAAAATGCCTTTTTCCGGCCAAAGATGCATGAGAATGTTCAAAAATTCGATATTTTATCGATTTTTAATAATAAAGAACGACAAACGCTATAAAACGCGAAAATTATTCGTGGTAGGTAGATATCCTGAATTACAATCCATATTTTTCAGCAAATGGTCAAGCAGCGGGGCGACATTTATGGCGGGGTTTTGGACGCGTCCGAATCACAAAGGCCCAGCTGGACGGCGAGAAGAGCTAATTCAAGCTAATAAATAAAAATATGCTTCTAGTTTTGTATTTTGAAGCATGATTTTATATAATACAATTTATTTACAATGCACATGAGATCAAAGGAGCACTGCATAGCCTTTAGTTTCAAAGAGATGACTCCGAATAAGATTTGCTCAGGGGTAGAGTTCGAAGACTCGCAGTCATCTTGCTGTTTCTTCATTGCCTCACTTGTTGTTTTCTGAAATTATCGTCTTTCTTCTTTTTGTTATACCTTTTTCACTGTTTTTAACAATCCCTAAACATAGAAAAATTACGATTTTTATCAAAATACGAAAAATCTTAGTTTTTCGATCCAAAATCTTCAATTAGCGAATTTTAAATGCCATTGAGATAGTTTTTCCGCTTGTATATCGTTAAATGTTCCTAAAAACATTATTAAAACACTTACTATTGTTATTACTTGCTATACGTTTCTCCCGTTGCAAAAAAATTCGGTTCTTCCCCAGTAATAAACTAAGAACCGTTGCCATTAACTCACAGTTCAGAAATTTCAAGCACGCCTCATTATAAGCTTCCTTTACCTGTAAATTCCGTGATTAAAGAAAGTCCGAACCCCGCGAACTTACTCGATTCCTCGCCTTTTCCATCAAATGATACTCGGCCATCTTCATTTGCAGCACCATCACCCAGCCGCTCGTTTTCGAGCTGCACGCAGAAAAATCAAAGCTAGAGAAAACTCAAAACTGCTCGAACCTTGGCGCAAGACGCACACTCAGCTTTATTGTAGTTGTGCAGAAAATCGGAGAAACCTCGATCTTCATCGGACCCTGAATGATACGCATAAAAATTGTTCGATCTAATTTCTTTCGCATTTTCCGGGGAACCAGCTTTGCCTAGGATCCAATT